TCTGAGCTTCTTTCAGGAATCACCCGCCACTGAATTGCTGGTATTCAATGTCTGTCCTCAGCAACTCTGTTACAGGCAGACTAGAAGTGAGACCAAAGGGCAGTCAGTCTCAAAGCTTTATTTTAAAGATTATTGTCTCAAAATAGTTTATAAGGTGGGGAATTTGTCCTTTTTTAATGATCCAAACAGAAAATGCCTAATTCACTAAGGCACAGCCTAGCAATCATTTCTGCTTTCAGATCACAGGACTCAGTGGAAAATCTGTGATTGTGCATTAAGTGTGAGCTCTTAGATGGCCCAGGATGGGCTAGATTGGCAAGAAAAGTTCTTTAAATGCCTCACTGTTGACAAGAGAATCTACCTGTGGTGTCCAGCTGAGGCACAGCCACTGCTGCTTTTTATTTCTTGTGGGAGGTTTTGCACCTGCAGACAGTTGGAGTCACCCATTGCTGTCACGAGCTAAAACAACGTTGTAAAAGCTTGGCTGTCTCAGGTACCACAACAGAGTGATCAAACAGCCCAGCCATGCACTATCCTTTCCAGCTGAAGGCAACCAGTAGTAATGGTTTTGCTACATAATGACTTATTTTAGATATAAACACAGAGATTTATGTATATTTCATATTAAAATAACAGCAGGATGTTGCTTTGGAAATCACGGTTATCTCCACTTCCACCTGCGAACTGACATCACATCTTATCATTTGTGTCGATTTCTACCCTGCATCTTTCATCTGCTGCTGCTGTTGAGCTGACTCAGAACCAAATCATCAGCAAAGCTCACCATCACCTAATTCTTCAGTGCTCCCCCATGGAGGTGGAAGGAAAAGAAAAAAGAAATAAAACTGTCCCTTTAAAAACCCAAGCATTTAAGCTGCTTGTCAGTCGTCTTCCTGACAAGGCCACTTGAATGTATTCAGGAATATTTGCATAAATGCTCACAGTGAGTTCACCGTGGCAGCTAGTGCTAATGGTACATAAAGTAATTTAGTCACTTCTCTTAAGCATCCTGTCAGGGTGATAAGCACCCCCTCTTTGCCTTGTTGCATATTAGATCATTAGATAATAAAGTGTTAGAGCATGCAAACTGACAGGGTCTCGGGGACTATCATTTTTCGAGGGCATTGCATTCTGCCAGTGAGGAAAAATAATAGAGAAACTGATGCTGCAATTGGCTTTACATTCTTGTAAAGACATTCAAAAGATTTGGGGAGAAAAAAAAAAAAGAATGTTTACTTTGCAATGGTATGAGAGTTTTAACTGGAAACACTGCAGTGGATTTATTGCTGGTAAACTTGAGAAGAGTTGTTGCAAGCCCTGCCAGAACTCTCCCCTTCCATAAGTTCATCACTTAAATTTCATTGGGAAGATTTTGCTTTTAAAATTGACACCCTGGGATGATCTACAAGCTGAAATATATCCTATTGGTTGGGGCCTGTTGGCTCTTGACTATACATCTTACTATATATATATATAATTTGGAAAGGTCAACCACACCAGCTTTCTGGTTTACCATAAATATAAAACCAGTGAGGATCAAACTATTTGTGAATGAAAAAGTGATAATTATTGAAAACCACAGATTACTGTGGCTTACCCTATTTATACCACATGGAGATGGATGAAATAATAATTGGCCTCTGCCAGCTATTACTTTTAAAAGATAGATATATTTATTTGAAAGATTAGCTGCTTAACCCACTGGCTTCAAGGGGGCAGCATGTGGATACAAAACCAGAATCTGGGGTCCTGGTTATATTCAGAGAAAGGAGCTACAAAAAAGAATATCCACTTTACTGAGTGAAAAGTCTGACAAGCAAGATATAAATAAAGATGTGTTGGATGTCCCAAAAATAATCCAGGTTACCTGCTAATGAGATGGTGAAACCCAAGTGTGGAGACACCAGGCTCCAGAGAGGCTTGGGAGGTTCCCCTTTCTTTCCAACTTTTTGGCACCCAAAGTGTCCTTTAGGTGTCACAAAAGCTTTAACTCCGTATTTCAGAGGAGCAGGCACAAGCTTGTAAGGAAAAATAAGCTGGATATTGTCTAAGTGAACTCAACAGCCAGCACTCCTTGCTACATCCTGCCTCCCCTCTCTCCAGCCCTCACAGTCAGGCATTCATCTCTATTGCCATCAGATATTTGTGTAAAGAAGTTAAATGTCTGGAAAAGTCCACAGGAATACATTTGGTCAAGGGTATACTACAGTCAGATCCCAGATTTTACAAACCTTTAATGAGTAGTTGCTCACCAGAGCAATGAACCAGAGACAAACCATGACTATGTTCACTTCCCATCTCCCTGCTTACGGATACAGCTCAGGTCAATCTGTCCTTCCCCTGGGGAAGAGGAGATGCAAACAAACTGCCTCTGACACTATCCAAAACAAAAATTCTAAAAACTGGACAAAAATAATATGTTTTGTGACTCGAACTGAAAGCAAAAATTAATTTCAGTGGAGGAAACTGTCATCTGCTCCATTGGGTCTTGTTCAAAATTCAACAGCATTAAGCCTTTTCTTTTCTTTTTATTTATTTAGTTAAGTGTTTTAGATACCTAATAACATCATTACAAGAGTTACCGGATTTAATTTTATTTTTTTTTCTGTTTCTTGGACTCACATGTTCAGAGAATTCCTGGAGAGCTGGACTGAAGGATTTAGGTTAAAAAGAAAGGCTCCACCAAGCCTTTGGGAAGAGAGCAATTTTGTAGTGTGAAGGTTGCTATTCAAAAGTAAGAATTTACTAGCAGTTGCTTTATGAGGTTGCTTGAGAGGTGCCTGAGAAAGCAGATTAGAAAAATCACCTTTCCCACAAAACGTACACATGGAGATATTTTGCAGATGTTGACTTTTAATATCAGCACAGTAACTCAGGTGTGTGCAGCTACGTAAGCAGAGAATTATCTTTTTTTCTTTTTTATTGTTGCTTTTTGCAACAGAATCCCTCAGGTTGTAGGAGTGGGAACGACAGCTGTGGTAAAATGAGACACCAGCATGCATGAGAATAAGGGCATTTATGTAAGAGAAATTAAGTACTGCCTCGACCAAAAGCATGCACTGAGAAGACTGCTATGGAGAAAAAAGAAAAAAAAAAAATATGGCAGCTACTTTAGTAGGAATATAAGAAAAAAAAAACTGGAAAGTTTTTTTTTAAGACTAGCCTTAATGGAAAGATTACAAAGTTGAACAGAAAGAAGTTTCCCTTTGTAATGCCTTCTGCTAATTAATAAAGACAGAGTTCATACATTCCTTATAAATTTCAGTAAAAATTATGACAGTGGTTTGTTTATTAAATTAGGTTGTTGGCAGGATGAAAAAAAAAAATTCTATAACATGAATTATGGCTGAAAATGGCTCGTAGCCTACATAAAAAGTTAGAGCTAAATAAATACAGATGTAAGTTATGTTTATATAATGAGAAACGCTGCTGAGCTAAGAATTTTAGGTTAGTAAGTGTGAACTACAGACCCGATTCTGCAAACACTTATCAATACCCTCAGCTTCTCTGACACAAGAAGCCTCATTGATCCCAACAGGACCATATGTGAGCATAATCTTAAATATATGCATAAGTGCTTGCAGGACTGATGCCTGAAAGCATAAACAGAATAGAAAAGTATTTCCACAGGAATCCACTGAGCAGTAGAAACCCACACATTTTCCCATTTCTCAGCATTAATAATTTCTTTTAACATATCTAGTTAACATTTTTCTGAGTGGCATATGCTTTCCCAGAGAAAATTTTATCTGGTTTCTTCAAACTCTTTGGAAAAATCTATTTAATTATTCATCAGATCCTTGGCAAATATTTGTGAAACAAACCAGCATAAAGGACTGGTGCCTTCTACACTCAGCTACTTCAATGGGAGCTGAGGGTACACATCTCTTACAGGGAGCAAGCACCTATTGAATTTAGGATTACAAACAGCTTTGAAGACAAAGAGCTATTCTACCAAGCTGGAACGGGGAGAGGGGAGTGAAATGCCCTCTGTTTTTGTTTTGTTTTTCAGCAGTAGTCATCAACTTTGAGGACAAAGAGCAAAACAAAACATTAATCAAATCCAGATTTTTCAAAGTACATTTGCACTCAACAACTCCCATTTTAAGCACCTACAGTCACCAGCAGATGTTCCCTTCCAGGACCAGCTGACCTTACAGAAGAGATTACTGTCCCCAGGCTGCTTCCAGCCACGTGCCCCCATCCCACCCTTGCTGGAGTTTACTGTGCTTTCAGAAAAGCCAAATTGCCTTGCACCATTTCTCCTTCAATCATTTCAGCAACAAGCCAGATTGGCAAAGAGTGATTATTTAAATGGTTTAATTCAAATGAGCTTCATTGGCCTGGAGGAGACCAGGGAGAAAGCACACAACCATCCTAGCTGGCATGTCCAGGGTGAAGAATAGCCTGGAGCAGGGAGAGGAGACAAACAGCTGTGGGAAAAGCAATGTCCTCAGCTGGCACAGCTGGAGCCAGAAAAGAACATTCATCCATGGCTTAAGTAAGCAGATGGATTTCCAAAAGGGCTCTGCTTCCATTTAGGGCAATTCAAAGGAACAGATGAATCTCCTAGAGAGCTCAGCACCCTATAGACAGAAGAAATGCAATCCAAAATTTGGGTGCTGAGCACTTCAAAAGATATGCAACATCCTTTAGATGCACAGTCAAAAAACAGGGCAGTCTGGGAAAAAAAAATCAGACTCCAATAGTGGGTGCTGAATAAATGCAACTAACATTTAAAAAAAAAAAAAAATCACTTCACTGACACACAGAACAACCTCTGCACCCATGTTTGCTTACTTGTTTGTCCTCTCACTACATTTAGAGCTGACCTACTTGAAAAATTCTCTCTTTGGTCTGGAGGCCAGTCCCTTTCAAACGTCTGGCCCCAGAGACAATAAACGCTTACAGGACAATTTTGAAACCAGCAGCCAGAGACACAAACCAAATAAATCCACATTTAAAGTAGCAATGCCAACCAACGAAAATGATTTGCCTACCATGTTCCAGATAAGAAGGCGTACCTTCCGAGGGATCGAGTCTTCGAGCTCTCCGCCCGTGCTTGGAATTGTTGTGCACAAACATATTGTCTGACACTGCCAACACGTGGCCATCAACATTGACTGTTGTAGACACCACGACCTGCAAGCACAAGAGCAAGATGGAGGAAAATTTGGATAAATCCGTGTGTTTTTTAAAAAGCGCGGAGTGTAATAAACTCGGTTAAATAAATAACAGCTGGGAGCTGTAGAAAATTGCAAAGCTATTTCGCATAATAACTGGTGCTTATGCTGTACAAATCTAACAAGAGACGCTATTGATGAGTGGGTCTTTGGCATCGAAAGCTTTTGATGCAGTTTTAAGTCAAATTGCAGAGTTTGTAGCTGTGTGGCAGACAGCACACTGTTAACCATCATTTTAACAAGAGGATCTTTATTAAGTATTTTTTCCCCTATATACAAGGGCAGCTGTGTTTCACCCTAAATTATCCTTCAGTTTCCACGCTGAAGTAGACAGAGGTGTTGACATTGCAAATGAGAATCCATTCAGAATAAAAGAAAACAAAAGTGTATTTTGTGAAGTTGTAACGAGAGTTGTTGCCTGCCTCGCCCCCACCCTTCTCTGCTGCTCTCCCCTCAGCACAGGCACTGCAGGTTGTTGGACTTGCCCAAATTTCTCCCGAGCTCTGTCTTAAGGAGTACGTATGTTTGTGTACACACACACACGCTTGACAGTGGGGTCTTGAGCTGGAGAACACAACCCTATTCATCCTGTGTTAGAATTATTTGTATTTCTCAACTTATCTCAGTGTCAACACCTGGGGTTCGATTTGAGGCGAGGTGAGGGAGACTCAGCAGGACTGCGCTGGAGGAAGGATCAGACACTTCTGCTCCCCAGGGCTGCCTGGGGTAAGAGAGGAGCCAACCCAGCAGGGGCAAACACGTAAGTGATGGGTCCAGAATAGAAGACCCAGCTGCTCCAAGGTGTCCAGAGGGACTCCTCAGCCCTGAGGCTCCTAAAGGAAATCCCTGTCCAGGCAGAGGGACATGAGCCATGAAATATCACAGAGAAACAAGTCCCTCGCAGAGCTGCGAGCTCATCACACCGCGTCTCCTCCTACCCCATTCACACCACGCAGTCTCACAGCCTCCCTGGCTTTCATTCAGCCACCCCTCCCACAGCCTTTTCCCAGCAAAAGTATGGCATTCCCAGGGTTTTACCCCAGGCCAAAGATTTGGCCTTCAGCCGGCTGCTGGTTTTCCAGGAGCACGCGTTGCCTTCGAGAACTTTGACTAAAACAATAAGAAGAAATGACCTACACTTCTCCTTACATTAAACAGGGAAAGGGATTAAAGACTGAAACCCACAGAGATATGTTTATTCATGCGACCTCTTACAACCAAATATAATAATTGTCTGTTAATTGCAGTTTCAGCTCCCACCTCATGCTTCGACATGTGAAACAGCAATCAGCAGCTCCTGTTTAATCCACCTATTATGTTGACTAATTAACTTTGCTCGACAGTTTATTTCTTCCTCCATTATCAGCCCCTGTCAGCCGCAAGCACAGCGCCGCAAAGGGGGACCTCAGCCCTTTTGATTGATCACCGATAGATTGACATGCAGATTAATTTAATTAGAATCACCTCACTTGAGAAATGAAAGACAATGGCAAGGGGGCTAATAGATCTGCTCTTATAATGAGGCAAGCCTCCAGAGCCATGGCAGAGGATTTCTGATTTATTTTGCTGAATTCCCCAGTCGCTCTGAAAGGCTCTCGCTTTAATTGTTCTTGGTTTTGAGAGGCTTTAGCCTCTGAAGAGGTGAAATGCTTTACAAGGATTGGCAAACATTGCTTCAACTCTCTCAGGAAGCTGCTGCCTCTCAAAGTTGGTCAAATGGGGACACTTAAAGGATCGCTTACAACTATTCAATTTCATCACTTGAATTGGAGCTGAAAAAAAAAAAAGAGCAAAAGGAAAATTTTCTACCTATTTCTGGCTCCCAATTAAAATACTCAAGAAGTAAGCAAGGCCACTAAACTGCCCACAGCCGATCCTGAAGTCTTTCTCTTGAAAAAGAGGAATACAAAAGGTAATATTTTACATCTAAAAGATCCTAACCCCATCCCTCATAATGGCATTCCAAGCAATAGATTTCTGTGCATGTTTTAAGTGAAAGATATTAAAATACAGAATAAATGATTCAAGAGCTCCTACAGATGGAAATTTGGGAAAAAGAAAGCACAAATACTACAGATAAGTTTTTCTGAAATCAAACTAAGGAGAGAAAAAAACCCAAGCCCTATATATAAAATTCCAAAAGGGATTTCAAAAGTAATTTATCCATTGAATTCCTGAGGGGTAGAATAAAGTTTATGATATTTTCAATAAAATATGATCTTATAGTAAGTGGCTCGGGGTTTGCAATCTTATTTGTGCACTTGCAACCATTGTAAATTCTTTGCAAGTGGGACTTTGAAGCAAATCCTTGGCATTGCCTCACAGATCCAAGATTTATGCCAGCTCCTTATCTTCTTCTATGTGTCTGATTAGATGCATATGAAAATTAACAAAATCACAATTAATAGCAGTGGCTACAAGATAAAATATTTTCTTAATTCTAAAACCTTATAGGTACACACAGACTTCCTGTTGAAGACTGATCAATGCTGAGCTGAAACCAAAACTTTAAACATTTTTAGAAATGGGATTCCAGAAAAACAATGAGTCAAGAGTAGTAACAGTAAGGACCCGTGAAAATCCTGTATCTAATTAGCTGCTGCTATACATGCAACTTTCTAGGTAAGAGCTTGAGGAAACAATCCTGTTGAGGTTTTATGTGAGTAAAGCTACATTTAATTTCCCCCTCCTCAGGTTTTCAAAACTGTTGATGCAACATATTTTGAATTACTTAACAATGTCTTCCTACCTCCCCCTCCTGAACAATTTGATTTACTATGAAGAGACCGCATTGGTGTGGTTCATTGGTGTCGTTAGCAGCAGAAACTATAAATGGAATCCCCAAGAGAAACTGTTTCCAGTCTCAGGAAATGCAGAAAAAAACCCTCTTATGTGTCTGTTTGAAAAAAAAAAAAGATTATTCATAGCACACCTGTAAGAAGCAACACACTCTTACTGCTCAATTCTTTAAATGAAAATTCTCATTAATAGAGGAACCCTGAATGTGCACTGCACTAAGGAAATATTAATGCCACTAATTATTTAGAGTGAAAAAATGCACCTCGAATATTGCGTGCCACAGTTACCTCCTTGGATTGCTACAGAGCACTTACATACTTACAAGTTCTACTCATATATTTTAATCTAAAAAAATACTACACTCTCCTCATTTTGATTTTGAAATGACTGGGATATGTGCAAGTTAAAACACATGCTAAAACTAATTTGTGGAGAAATCATAAAATTAGGGGGAGGGGACAGCCAGAGTATATACGGAATGGGCACCAAGGCATCCTAAAACACAGACTGTAGCAAGAGGGAAAGGCACACTACAGTTTAATAAATGATTAATGAGGTGCTGACACATTAATGTAAGCACAGGGACAACCAGGTCTGCCAAATCTCAAACCTTTCCAAATTTTGTCAACAAAACACAGTTTTAATTTGAGACAGGCAAACACGGAAAATGATTTTGAGCTTTAGCTTTAGCCCTTCATAGATTTTGAATTTAAATCCTGTATCAACACCAGGGGAGACAGAGGTATGAAAGAAACACATGGGTTTACAACTTTCTTCAATGAAGTTGGCATTATCGAATGCAGTAACATATCCCAGCTCTGTGGATTATCCTGCCTGCCATTAAATACTTCAGTTTGTGAATACTTTGGAGCTTAGTTTTTTTGGTTTTTTTCTTTAAATATTCAGAGACCAGGAGCCTGGAGATCAAGTTATTTATCCACGTTTAGCAGTCGGCCTGTTTATTTGGTATAGTACCTCACCTAATATATCAAAATTAAGCATTGCACAAGTCCTGATTTTTAACCACAGCCCATTAAGCTTTGCTCACTGATTAAGACATAGCATTTTCCTTGTGCTTTCAATTTTCTCCAGTGTATGGTGAGGGATCTGATATTATTGCAATGTCCCCAATACCCAGTGACAAAGGCAGAGAAAATCTGGCTAGGATGATTTCCAGGTTTGAAGTGTGTCCTAAGTGTTAAATATGTAACTCTGGTGCTTGCCACTCTTCTGAAAGCAATAAATGGCTCGAGCACATCTTTATTTTCATCACCACTTGGTGACCTCTTCCTACAATGTGTTGACTTCTTTATTCTAGTAACTAAAAATCACTCTCCATTTAACAAGACACTTCAAAAGGTGCCTAACTAAGAGCACATAAGTACAATACATTCAGTAATTTTGCTCACGTGCTCAAGGACAGGCTGGGCACTTAATTACCTTGTTGAATTGGGCCACAGCTCTCTCACTGATATTTTTCAGTCTCTCTTTTTTTTTTTTTTTTTTTTGCCTTTCCTTTCTCTGGGGATGGAGCCTTGCATGTCCAAATTCCATTATCTGGGATTCATGAAGCATCATCTCTGTCTCTTATGCAAATTTGCAATAAGACACAAGTGGCTTCAATTCAAACATGAGTGGCAGCATCCCATGGAGGCAAACGAGCAGCCTCTGCTGCAGGAGAGGCTGTGCTAACAGAATCAAACAGCATGGCAATCTCTAAGCGACTTTCAAGGTTTTCATAATAAGTGAATGTTTGGGGTTTTATTCAGTGACACAGCCTGAAAAGTTTCCTCTAAATTAAAACTTGACATGTGTCAGTTTACAAGCAGTTGTGCTAAAACAAGAACAACAAGACAGCTAGGGCACCTGGGTTTCATTAATTACAATAACATACAAAACTGTTTAGGTTGTAGGAATGAGTTTTTAGTTCTGAAAATTCAAATCTGGGTTCACTCATGACACCATCTACTTAGAAGTAGTATTATTATTACCACTTACGGGGGCACTACAGCCCATCCCACCAAGAATGATTTATTGTGATGAAGAATTCACAACCAGACTGAGCATCTGCTCCATGGGGTTTGTGGAATAAAAAGGCAAGGTTGGGCAAAAGTGATAATACACAACAGCACCAAATGTTTTGTGCATTGGGGCTGACAGAGCACCGAGATAAAATGATTTTCTCAAGGACAAGCAGGGAGTGTGAAGCACAGCTGAAGTACTGTGCAATACTTGACTTCTCCTACCTGACTGTCTCCTTGTGCTAATAGAGACACAACCAACACAGCCAGGGCCAGCACTGCTCCAGCACACACACTCTGCTGGCACTCCACTTGTCACATGCCTGGACATCTCAGACATGCAGAGAAATTTATTTCCTTCCAGGCCCACAACAGCTTTTATGTTAGACTTACCACACTCCTACATTTGCAAGCAAAGTTCAGGATTAAACCTTCTGATTAATTTCTGATTGTGAGCCTGAATGAAGTGTCACACACAGATCACCTGAATCAACACACACTGACTCCTCCCTGTACTTTCTTAACATGTCTTGTGTCAGATGATAATCAGACATTTCCATGCTGCAGGGGAAAAAAACCCAAACCAACTCTAAAATCTACTAAGTACGGATATTTTCCACAGGACTGGTTCTTAGATAGGGCAAGACTCATGTCCTTGACCTTTCACTGATTCTCCCATCAAAGCCATAATCTGTTTTCTAAGAATTTCCAGCAACTTTTGGAGACTGATGAATGACAGACCAAAAGCTGAACATATCTCTTGGCAGCTTCCAAGTCCAGCACAAGCAGGGGAATGAAGGAAGGGAATGTCTCCATTTTTGTGTGTATAAAATTAGTATGGTACCATTTAGAAGTATCTGGAAACACCTTATCCTTATAGTTCTTAACCAGAACTTTGACATCACTCTTGGAGACCTTGTAAGTCACTGGCACAATTCAAAGGCAGCTGACAGCAAACACAAGGGCACAGATTTCACTTGGTTCCTACACAACACTGCCTCAAAGACCCAGGAGCACCACAGCATTGAGATACTACATGTACACTTGGTCCTTTTCACCCTAAGAAATGATAAATGAAGCTTGGACTCTGTAGAGCCCAGCTGTTTTATTTTAAGAAATCTATTGCTTAAAGACAAGTCCAAAAATTAAAAAAAAAAGAAAAAGAAAAGGGAAGAAACAAAAGCAGCTATTGTAAAACAATAAGCCTGGGCACTGAAGAGAATGCTGTGAGCTTCAATGCCACCCTGTATGAGAGTAGGAGTGGTTCCCTCGGCTGAAAGTGATTAATTTCTTGAAAATGCTGAGGTCACGCTAATTGACATGACCTGTGTAATTAAGCAGTCTCTGTTTACACACGGAAAGCTCAACTGCTGTGAAGCTGGGTTTGTATGACAGAATGTCTTTACAAGTCAAGAGATCAACAACCTTTCCTATGTCCTACCTCCCCGCCGACACAGCTCCTGATTGCTGTTCTGAGGGAACACGCACAGGCATTTCCATATGAAAATCAGCCTCGAGCCTGGCTGAGCACAGCCCCAGCAGAGTGTACATGTTGTGAAGCAAGCTCTGACAGGCCCCAGGGGTGACTGCTCGGACTAAATCCCCGTGCTGGTGAGAGTCCTTTTCCCACATCCTCTCTCCGTGATAATGCCCTCTGGAATCACAGGAGAAACATGACAGAGCGAGGAGTGTGGGGTGAGAAGCTGAGGGCTCTGCCATGCTAATGCTGGCTTTTACACTGATTAATTTAATCCCTGTGGCCACATCTCCTCACTTCTGCACTTCCCTGCTCAGAGGCAAATAGCACCCTTCTGCCTTCCAGCATCGCTGCAATTAAGCAGTTCAACAAAAGACATTCTACATATAAATAATATTGTCACTTACATAACATTCAAAACTTTTATTGAAGTGCAACAATGCTGGAAAAGAAGCAAACAAAGTCCTGAGTAACGACAGAAAGCAGATATATTTTGGAGTTGTGTTTCTCCAGAAACCCATGTGGTCTCTGGAGAAAATTTCTTGTTTCTTCCTCAGAACCCTGAGGCAAAGCCCCATGGACAGATTCTACCATGTTTCCTCCATGGGCTATATTCACTCCTCCCACCAAAAGAGTAGGTCCTTTGACTCTCTATCCCACATTTTTATTCAGCACATACTCAGGTAAAGCATTAGTACCACAGTCAAAGACCATGTCTTCAATAAAAGGGTTGGAGCAATTATATCTCAGCATTGCCTCCACTCTGCTCCAGCACTGGGAAAGTGCATGTACAGACCACCTTCCCAAAGGACAGTGATGTTCTTTATCCCAAAATGAGCTTTGACATAGGTGGAGCATAAAAAGGTGGCCTTGGCCATCTGAAGCTGTGTTGGTATTTCAGGTCCCAAGCCCCAGTGCCACAGAGGTGAAATACCAGCCCAAAGCATCCCAAGAAAGAGACACCCCGTGGTAGCTTTTGCCAAGAGCTCACTACAGGATGGACCTTCACCCCATCAATGCACATTTTTACCACTCTTTACCACTGCTCAGGAGTAACAAGTGTAGTCACGAGCCTGATTTTATTAACTGCTCTTACACCTTCCTCTGCCCCAGCCAATAAATAAGGTGCTCACTTTGTGTCTGCATGAAAACAAATAGTTGTCCATGGAGAGAGGAATATCTCAGAGCAGGGGAACCCCGTAGCTGAAAACAGCAGTGAGGTCATTTTGATTTTTCCTTTTCATGCTTTCCCTTCCGGTGGAGATGACATTATCTTCAAGAGTGCTCTCTTCCAGAGCAAGAAAACCCAACTACTTCCTGCCAATTCTGCTGTGACAAGAAGTCCTCAGGCAATATTTTGTGACCTTATGTTTTTAGCATCTTCCAGTGAATTACTAGGTTAGTTTGGGTCAAAGTACTTCTGTCCCTAACAGCTGCTGACTTTTAAAGGAGGAAGCGTGTCCGACTGACCTGGAATCGACGCATGTCTCGAGGGTTTCCTGCATTTTTTAGGCAATTTTGGTTACATTTGAGGAAAAATTTCAAGAAGAACCTGTGGAGAAAGAGAAACTAACATTAATGTCTTAGAAATAGGGTGCAGTATGTATAAATATAACAATTATATAAATATGACATCTTCACTGGACCAACAAAGACTTATCAACATCAGTATTCCCAAGTCAGACAAATCACCCCCCTGCCCATCCAAAGAGGGAGTGAAGCTTGCTTAGGCCCCAATCTAGCAAAACACATGAGCACATCCTGAAAATTTAAACACTCATTTCATAGTTCTGTTGTGTCAGAGCCATTAAAGTTTGCAGAGTCAGTCCCTCTGTCACGCCAGCCTCGCTGCGCCATGCAGAGCAATGAGGAACAGACACGTTTTTCAGCACAGCAAAAAAGGGACAGAAAAATGCTAGACATGAAAATTCCTTTGGGTATAAATGGGGTTTTGTTTTACAAGTTCGCTGTCACCCGCAAGTTTTGATTTAAGACAAAAATACTGAAAATGTTCCATACAGTTGAAATCTCCCTCCCAGGATTAAACCGAGTTTGTGCATAAAGTTAATGCTCAAATAGTGGTTAGTGGAGCCCAAATCCCTGGGAGGAGAAGGGGGAAGTCTTGGTCAAAATAATGACTTCATGGAAAAATGAAATATTCTTGATGCAGTCTATTTCCTGACCATACACAGTTCACTGAAGTAGCTATATGACCCTGACATATATCTCTAAGAAAAGACATTGCCTTTTACAAAGCCAAAGAAAAAAGCAAACATTTCACTGAAAATATTTCCTTCAGTGTTATGCATCAGTGGACTGTAAACTCATAAAGACAAGTCAATGAATAATAGTGGGTCTCAGATTCCAGGCTTCCTCCCTGAAAAGCCAAAGTTTATCAGCCTTTTGTCCAAAATAAACTACAGACTAAGGTCTACTAAAGCTCAGCCATGCAAAGTTTAATCCTAGAGCAAGTTTAAAGTCCAGTGTAACCAGACAGGGCAGCATTACACATGCAGTAACCATCAGTGACTAAGCAGAAGTTCCTCTGCCCCGTTCCCACATACAGGAGCGGGGTGAGGAACAGTTTGATCCTGTTTTACTTTAAATCTGAATGTTAACTTTTGCAAGCAGCCCTCTTTTAGCACCCAAACTGAATGCTAGGTCAGCAGAATTTGCACAGAATGTGAGCAAGAAAGGCAACACTGCAGGGTAAACAGCTTCAGAAAATCCCTTTTTGATGAGCAGCATTCTTTGCCCTGCTCTAGTTGTGATGCTGCCCCTCAACAAGGCAAGTTTTGCTGCTTGTTCCTCCACGTCAAGAAAACCATACAAAGCAAATGCCTTCAACAGTAAATTGAAACAACGAGGGACTGTTTTCATTAAAGAAATGCAGTGTAATGAGGAGGATTATCAGATGTGATGCTTGGGATTATCAAGGAATAGATCTCCTGGCCCAGGAAGTCTCTTCTAGACCTGAGCTTTTAAACAAGAGCAAGAAATCAACATAAAATAAACATCATGGCCAGCTGTGACAGCCTGACTCAGATTGCGTAGAAGGAGCTGTCAGCACAAATCTTGGCATCTCGGATCCAGACAACTGCTTGCCACCAGGCGAGGGTTTGTACTTGTGCCAGAACGGATTTTGAGAGACAAGCAAATAGGGCATTAATTCCACCAAAGAAAAATTAAAAGTGGGGAGAGTAGGGGATCTTACACTTCAGATGATGGCTGTCCTGTCAGCAGCTCGTCATTTAGCTCACGAGCTATGAAGGGCACAGACATCAGATCCCTCTTGCCCTAAGCTGGCCCTGTCTCGCGAAACCCTGGCAGGATTTGGAGACCACCCCTCCACACGAGATTGCTCGCTGAAATAAAAAGCCTGGCCATCTGTTCAGAGGCAAAGACATCCCTGTCAGCTGGTGCCTACAGCCTCAAACAGGCCCTTATGTGGCAAAACCTCTCAGAGCCACTCGCTCTTTGGGGAGAAGCTGGCACTGCCCTGGGCTTACCGCGGGATTTTGGCGGCTTCGCCGAGGGCTGAGTCCAGCAGCTGCCCACCCGATCTGCCACAGCTCCAGAGCAACACCCCGGGCCCGAGGAGAGCTGGGGTATGGAATTGTTTAAAATAGCTAAAAATTCCTGTTAGGGCTTTGTATAGCACACGAATAATGGGCAATGAGGTTGATTCAAGGGCTCCCCAACAAAGATGGAAAACTCTTTGTGGAGCTCTCTGGAGAAACATTGGGTCTTCCCTCCCCTTACAGAGCCTGAGCTCATGTCAAGTCAAAGGTTGAAAAATGACTCTGAAATGCCAGAATTGACTTTTGGGGTCTGCAAAACTCTAGCCCAAAGTTTCACAGTTTAACTCCACTTGCACTGTGCTATAGCCCTCAAAGGCCACAGAAGTTTCACCAAAATAAACTGCAGAAGAAATGAAGCTCATCTATTTAAACCTACCAAAAAACCTCAGGCAAGCAACCAAGCAAACAAAACTTCCTTTGAATTAAACCAACTCCAGAAAAAAATAAACTTGCAAAAATAACAGCATTTTCAGAGGAACGCGAAGCTTAAACAGCCAAGTTCACTCACTGCATGTTAAGCAAAAGAAAGTCCCCAGTTTACAGAACACATTCTGCCAAGCACCGTATTTTAATTCCATTGAAAGACAAAACAAACGATGGGGCCACACTTTGTTTTGGAACACACCAGGGCTGGAGTCCCCCTGGGCACACCAAGCATCCCACACTCATCCAGGCAAGAGCTGAGCAGCTCCTGGGCTGGCAGCACACACCCGACTGATGGAACCCCCCACCCTGGCAGGAAGGAGGATGAGAACAGATTAAGACAAGAGAAGAACAGAGCAGTTTGATTCATGAGGCTCAGCCCAGGCCCTTGGTTCCTGCTTTAAACCGCTTGTTCAGGTGCCTTCATCACCTCAAGCCCGGTCCTGCCAGCGTTGCTCATTAGCAACACTTCACTCTGCAAATATTTCAGATTTGGATTGACAGCACTGGTCCAGGAGAAGTGCCAACAGAGCTGAGCTCTTTGTAAGCATAAACCTCCAAGCCCATTTGCTCTCATTGAGCTTCTTCACACTGGGTTATTTTTTTTTCAATTCTAACTTTCCCCACATTTGGCAGGACTGTGTACCATTAATGCTAACCACAGAGGATATATAGCATTAATACTCACTACTGGGGTCTGAAATTCATTTCCAAGATGAAAAAAAAAAATGTGCAAAACACAGGAGTGTCAATAAAATCTTCAACTCTCTCTCCAAACTTCAGTTTGTTCAGTGACTGCTGAACTCCCGCTCTTCTGCCACACAGGAGTCAGTCATCAATTATTGCTACCATTGAAAGCTTGGCAATTTTTTCATTAATGTTTTCTGACTACTGCCATCCCCGGTGAGATGGTGCACACATTTGTGCATGTGGAGCAGAGAAACACAACCCAGCCCCATTCAAGTCAGCTCAGGTTCAGGAATAAAAACTTTTTGCAGAGCACTTGGATTTACTGGCTTGCATTGGTATTAAACCAGAGAATTCCATGCATCACTTTTATCCCACAGAGACAGGCTGGAGTGTAAGGAAGGGAAGTTTGGGACAAAACCAGATCATTTTAGATTATATTTAGGTGTCCTATGATGCTGCTCAGGGCAGGCTGCAGGAAATGCTGAGGGAGTGAAGTTGCTGAGCAGTTAATCTGTGCCATGCAAGTACTACAAATCCCTGGGTAACTGCAAGGTCCAGTGCAGAAATACATCCTCCAGTTAAATACAAACCCCTGGGCTGAATCAGGGCCCAAACTAAAGTTAACTTCTGTCTGCCAGGCAAAAGCCCTAAAAAATGTGCTATTGGCTGTTCTGGGAATGTTCTCTCCTTTTCTCACAATTCAATAGAAATTCCTTTTTTGGAGATGAAATTGTGGGTTTTTTCCAACAAAACTGCTGGATTTCCAAAAAGTTGTTGGTGCCAGTAGGATTGTGCTCTCACCCTCTGCTAGGGAGGAACTCTACCCCAGCCCTGGTTCTGACTGCTACTTCCAGCTCCTGAAACCAGCTCTGTCCTCACTCCTGCCCCATCATCCTCTGATTCCCCTTGTTCCACTGATGGATCTGGTGAGCACAAAACCAGCTGAAGGTTACTCCACTTGTTTAAAATTTAAAACTTTCCCTGCCACTCTCTGCTGGCCTTATTGTCCATCACACACCAAAGGCTTTGGCTTTGTGCAGTACCCTCCCCAGCAGCATTCTGATCTTTGCCACTACCACAGGGATTTAAATTAAACAAACGGCAGAAATGGAAATCCAAGTAATGAAGACGTAAGAGGATTTTGCCTTCCTGCTTTTCTTGCCACTAAAAATTAAAACTCACGTTTATTAAAAATAACTGAAGAGTTAAATTAAAGAAAGCAAGCTCTGACATTATCTATTGGCTCTTCTGTCACTCCCCTGAAGGAAATTTAAAGGAGCCCAAACATGAAGGTTTAGCAGAAGGATTTTCTGGCCATTGCCACAATAAATATGTCTGTGGAAGGAGAAAAAAAAATAGTTGGAAAGAAGACCTGCTGCATTCCTGATGCTGAAGAAAAGCTTGTTTGTTCCTGATACATTGGAGAAGTTGTTCAAGAACAGTTCCTCCATGAGAAAATATGACAGCTGTCTTGGTGCCAAGGTCAGCCAGACCAGTGGCTATCCAGAGAGTGAGTGCTGGTTATACAGCTCAGACCTGGCTAGGGCAAACAAAACTGACAAAACACACCTTTTCTGTGCTGTAAACACATTTGATAGAAAAAGGGCAACTTCAGACTCCTGGATGAAACACAGCAGCAAGTATATGTGAGTCTGTAAAATTAGCAAAACCGAAATACACGGGCCAGGGCAATAATTAGCAACTTTCCATCAGATAAAAGGATTGCATGCCCATTCTGTATGGCACACCAATTCAGCAGAGTCCTAAATATGTGCATAAATTTAAATACACAAGCAGTACTGATGGAGACAAAGGTACTACTCACATAGTCGAGCACGTCGCAGGCCCAGCTCTGCTG